ACGGAGGAGGACTTAGGCTCAGACGTACGGAATCCATACTACTGTGGATTGAAAGAGAGAGAGAGAGAGTTTGGGTTTCTTTGAAAAACACACACACAGACACCCCTCAACTCAAATTCGCCTGCAACCCAAACACTGGCTGGCCTCTTGTGCCATTCTATAGTAGTCTGCTCTGACGGTAAGTACTATGAACTCTATGAAGTTTGTCTTTCCTCTGTTCTTTCCTTAATTTTTTTTTTTTTAAACCACCACTACCTTTTCCCATGGGGGCCGCTGTTGCGCCTCTGAAGCTTTAGGACGCCGAAACGAAACAACTTCCGCCAATGAGATTTACCAATGGCGGCCGTCGTCGGGCCCGGCCTCCAATTTTTTAGGAGTAGGACATTTTCCCGTTTTCCCAACCGCAGGAAAGGTAGTGGTCGTTTAAAGAAAAAACTAAGCTATATTCCTCCACTCATATACCTCTCTCTACCTAACCTCTTATCTAAGTCCAGTTTTGAGCATCGATTGTTGCAGCCTATGTTTGAACTCAAGCTGGGTGGCCCCAAGAGTTATGGGTTGGCAACTTGGCACCGACCTCCTCCCGTGTCTAAGCACCGAAGCTTCTTCCTAACCCCAGGCAATGGATGAGAGTGAGTGGAAACCCTACAACGCCCTACCAGGGGGGGCGCAAGCTGACTAACTGAATTACTCAGCTGGTGAACGCGTAGCGAGCCACAGGAGACTGTGGGGGCTCAAATGAAGACCGTGGGGAATCGAACCCATAACCTCCTGAATGCCACTTTCGTGCTCTACCAACTGAGCTAGGCCGCCCCCGTCTTTCCTCTGGTCTAAACTCCTCCGCTTCCCCTTTTCCGTTTTTCCTTCCTCCCTCCACTTGTGTAGTCCTGCTAACTTTTGTTTTAATTTCCGGATGTACACATCTGGGTGGAAAATGGGTTGTTCTGGTGACTGTCAACAACACACACAGAGTACTAAATGCTTGCGAATGAGCGTCACTAAGAGAACAGACAAAACACAAGGTGAGTCTGTGTTGAAAATCAAACCGGTGTGTATGCATTCATTCCACGCTCTCAAGTAAACAGACGTGGTGGACCTTGCACCTCTCGGAATACAATAATGAAATGGCTGTTTGTAAGTGTTTCATCAGAACATTAGAACTTTCAAAGCGTTACAACTTACAATCATTTAAAATATATCACAGATAACTTGATAGAACTTCATCATAGAAGTTTTCTTGTTTAATATAATATGTAATCGGCTCTTGGTTGGCTCATGTTGCAGAGGTGCGCTTCAATGAAATATATGTGATACGATCATTTCCTGAGTTGTCATCAGGTACGTTGATCCTCGTTTTCTTCGTATACCTGCTGGTCTGTTTCAATCTCCACGTTCACAGCTTGGAAAATTGGTTCAATTTCGTCTTTTTTATTGTCAGCGTATGGTTCTTTATAAGTCTAGTTTCATGTTTTTTTTTTTCCCAATGTGTAGATAGCAAGCATGCTCACCTGCTATGCAATGCATTGAAAAACGCTTTTTGAACTTTCTTGAAGTTTTTTCCTTCTTTCATACAAAAAGTAAATAATTTTAATATAAGCGCGTTAGCCTTTAGCATAATGAACAAATGGTTGTGATTCAGCATCAGGGGGAGAGAGAGAGAGAGAGAGAGAGAGAGAGAGAGAGAGAGAGAGAGAGAGAGAGAGAGAGAGAGAGAGAGAGAGAG